TTTATAGTCCATTTATAAAAGCGTTGTATATTAAAATATTTATTTATATTTTTTTTATTTTCTACTTTTTAGTCTTGTCTGTACAAAATTTTGCAATAGATATTAAAATAATTCAACTTACAGTGAAAGAGAAAGAAGACTATGCAAGCACAATTTTGTTTGCTTACATTTAGTATAAACATACATATGTACATACACACATATAGCAGCAGTTTATTTCATTTAAAGAAATGGCGTGTCGTCCATTTCGGATGTGACGTATATAAATAGTGCATATATTTAGGCGCAATATTTAACTTCTTCTGGCGGGGCGACATCTAGAGTCTTCTTCTCCCTCATACTATGCCTACAACGAGGTTGATATCTAGACTAGGTTGATATCTAGAATTTTCCATAAATAGCTTTGCTACATTTATAGCAGGTGCATTCTTTTGCAACCGAGCTACAAAAGAACACTCGCTTAAATGACGAAATACACGCAAAGCAACAACACAAACTCGGCTATTTATCCGAGAGAAGATAATCTGACGTTCAAAATTTATATAGATGTGTAATGCGATCAAGCATACATGTTGCAACCCTACAAATCACCTTATATGAATTCACCTAAGGTAATAGATTACAAATATAAATTTTCGATATTGATTCAACCCTGTTGTATCGGCGAAAGCAGCTAACTTTAAGTTTTTTAGTGAAAAAAAAATTAGCGGCATTATTGCGCGTTACTTCAACCCGACTAGTTGAGTTTCATTTAAACTTATATTTTTGGGCAACTGCTGGCTACCAGCGTTGGCCGGCAACAGAGCCGGCGGAGCACCAGGGCCAGCAATTGCAGCAGCACTGCCTAATACGACAGCGTCGAGGGAGCGCTAGGGCTCCCAGCAAGAGCGGGCGTTGGCCGGCAACAGAGCCGGAGGAGCAACAGGGGAACCTCGACATGGCGACCAAAAGAAAGGCCAAGGCCTTGTTAATATAAAAGCGAAAACTAATCTTTTTTACACAAAAAAAAATTGTTTGAACTACATTTAAACCAGCGGCAATGCAAAATTTAAAATAAAATCGAACTATTTAATCAACGAAATGGTGGTGGTGAAATAAATACGAAAAAAAAGCAAAAAAAAAAAAATTATAAAAACGTTAAAAGCAATACAAAAAAATTTCTTAAACTCACAGAATTATGTGACGATACACAAACGAAAATGAACTCACACTAAAAAGAAAGGAAACATGCGGTGAGGGTCAAGTTAAAACAAAGAATTAAAATATTAAAAAACTTTCAAAAAACCACAAAAAAAATAACATAAAGCTACAAAAAAAGCGGTGGTACCAAAATTTTATAATTTTGTGAACTATACAAACATCAATGGCTTAAAAAAAAACCAAATTTAACTGTTAAAAAAAACGCGCGGTAGTACCAAATTAAAAAAAAAAATGCGAAAACCAGCGAGTGAAGTTCCTAGTGGCGAAAGTGGTATTTCTGGGTGAAAAAAAAACAGTAACAATGGTACAGCAAAAAAAAAGAAAAAAAAAGGTGAAAACGTTTAAAACTGTATGAAAGCTAACGTGGGCGTAAAAGCCGAGAGAAAAAAAAACTGCAAAAGAACATACATTGTAATGCGTGACTGTACCACTTCGACGAAAAATATACACCCGTTTCCTAACGGCGCATAAAAACCACGCCACTAAAAATGCCAAAAACCGCAACTCCGTTACAAAATATACATACGTATACCGTTGGCATTGTACAGTAACTCCACGCCAACTAGCAACTCATTCATATCGCTGCGCAGGGTGCGATAGCAGCGTGGTAACAAACAACAACAGCTAAAACCAGGACAACACATCTTTACTTGGCAAGACAGCTCTACATGGCAACTAATACGAGCAACGGTACGCAGGAAGGTGAGTTCGTGGGACCTGATGGTATGAACATACATACATATGTACTTAACACTTTACTATGTCTATTTTTAAATTACATACAATTGTATACTAAATCCTAATATTTGGATACAACAAAAAAAAAATTTATTCTTATACTTATGTATATAATTACACTCATACAGTTACAAAATTAAAATGTTCAATATATATATACTTTATCATACACATATGTACATTAGACTGCATCACTCCCCATACAAAAAAAATCGGTACTATTTTTCCATTGGAATTATAAAATCTATTCTATTTTAAGACGTCCACCAAAATATTTCGGAAAAATATTAAGATTTAAGTGAGCTGGACCGATTTGAAAATACCTCCAAAAATCGAGTTTTTTATGAATAAAAATAGTTTCTTAAAGATTTTTTTTGAAAAAATCCCCTCAATGGTAAAACGGTTTAAGCTTAAAATATTTGCATAAAAATATTTAATCAAAATTTAAAAAAAAATTGAACGGAATCGTAATGATGAGATTTTTGATGTTGTTTTTTAACTTTTTTCAAAGATTGGTATAGGGAAAACTTGAATAACTGAACCTAAGCTCTTCCGATTTAGACTTAAGAGGTGTCATTGGAAATGTATTTTCTCACCCTTTTTATTTCATTGCTAATAAACTCATTCAAAGGATGGAAGAGAAAGGTAGGATGAACGAACGTCATTCAAAGTTGAATAAAGATGTGTTGGTATTCGAAAAAACAAGATGGGAAACGAATGACGTTTTTTGGCCCGAAATACAAACAGTGTGGAAATACCTTTCTACTGAGATCCCATAAGTCTAAATCGGAACATTTTTGGCCCAGTTATTCAAGTTTTTCGTAAACCAATCTTTGAAAAAAGTAAAAAAACACCATCAAAAATCTCATTCTTACGATTCCGTTGAAAAGATTTTTAAATATTTTTATGCAGATTTTTTAAGCTTAATCTAGTTTGTGATCTGAGGGGACTTTTTTCAAAAAGTTCTTTAAGAAACTATTTTTATTCATAAAAAACTTCATTTTTGGAGGTATTTTCAAATCGGTCCAGCTCGCTTAACTCTTAATATTTTTCCGAAATATTTTGGTGGACGTCTTAAAATATAATAAATTTTGTAATCCCGGTGGAAAAACCGCAACTTTTTTGGTGATGCAGTCTAATGTACATACTTGTTTTACTGTTTCTAATGGAATTTCTGAACTACAGTCGCGTGCAAATCATTGGTACCAAACCAACTTTCCTTTTTTTTCAATTGTTCTATAACTTAAACTTTTTCGGACCTACATACATTTTTTAATACAAAAAACATTTCACTTACATTTTGGAATTGTATTAGCGTGTAAAATGTTGCCACGCAACTTTTCTTAAAATTAAATTACAATTTTAAAATTTTTTAATAAACAGTGCCTTGCAAAGTGGTTAACGAAAACTTTTCCAAAACATTTAATTCAAAATTTTGATATTATCAGTCAAAAATTTTTTTTTCTTCTGTGCTTCGCCGAGTGAGTGCTGGAAACTTTTTTTAAAAATCGAAATCACCGATACATGTTTTTCTTATAAACCAGACCGTGCTATCAGATTGCTACGTTTACAACTTTTTTTATTTAAACAAAAATTAATGCCGATTGAATGCCAATTGTGAAAATTTTACTGTGCCTATAGTTGCGTACAAAATCAACATCTGTTTGCCATAATTTAAAGAAATCAAAATTTTTTTTTGTTAATATTTATGCCGGGTTTGTCAAATGCCAGATTTTGATACTGCATTTAAAGATTTGCGTACTGATTTTGCAAAAGTTACAAAACGTGTGTTACAAAGTCGTCCTATCTCAACAAAAGAGGGCAAGCTAGAGGAATATAAAGAATCTTTAATAAAAAGTTATAACTACATTTTAATACTAGTAAATTCGCACTTCAATCAAAGGGTTAAGCCAAAGTCATTAATGAGAGAAAAGCTACTTAAGTGTTTTTATAAAATTGGTTGCAAAATAAAAGTACCAGAAGATTTCGACGAATTAATTACAGAAAACGTTTTGTATTCGGACGCAGATTCCGACGAAGAATTTGCTGACGTACGTTCAACTGGCACCCTTGAAGTTTATAGTATTAAAAAAGAGTCGTTCCTTGTCTTTTCTGGAAGATTTTTTGGGATTCGACGACCCTCCTTACGTAACCACTAGCTCACCAAATATTAACTTCTTTCAAAATACCATCGCAAAAATAGCAACACCTGAGCAAAAGAAATCATTTATAAGTGTATGCGCCTCGATTATAAGGGAAAATTATAGTGGTGACCCGCTATCACTTGCCTCTTTTATTGATAAAATTACCCTTATTGAAGAATTGTCAGACGAAAGCCTCACTACAACATTTATTGCATTTTTGAAATCCAAACTTGAAGGTAAAGCTCGCGAGTCCCTACCAACGCAAATAAGCTCAGTTAGTCAAATTAAAGAAGCGCTGTCAAACAAAATAAAACCAGACAACTCGAAAGTTGTCGCTGGTAAAATTTCAGCTTTGAAAGTGCATAACAACAATTATTCAGATTTTGCGAAACAGGTAGAGGAGCTCGCCGATTCCCTGGAGCGTTCGCTTATTATTGAAGGAATGACACAAGCGAAAGCTCACGAGATGGCAGTTGAGCAAACAATAAATGTTTGTAGGCTCAACAGCCGTTCAGATATGGTAAAGTCAATACTAGCGTCATCAACCTTCGGCGACTCGAAAGATGTTGTAGCGAGGACGATTGTGGAGCACGACAATATAATACAAGAGCGGCAGGTGTTGGCTTTTAGGTCACGTCCCAAACGGACAAATAATTTTCGAGGAGGTTATAGAGGCAGCAATAACTACAGATATCACAATAACAATTTTAGGTTTAACGGCAATTCAAATAGGCACAGCGGCAATACTAGCTATCGAAACAACAATCAGAATAGGAATAATAATTTCAGTAATAGACGAAATAACTACAATAATAGTAACAACAGTCAGGCTTCAAGCAGTAGAAATACACGAAATTCTGCCAATGTTCGGACTTTAGACGCCGAGGCCCCTCAGGCGCGAACACTGGGGGAGCTAGACTTGAACAATTAACAACTTTTACAGAAGAAAAATCCATTTACTGCCTAAATCTCAACTATTCTGATTTCATTGAAATAAATTGTAGTGATTCTCACAAACAATGCACTTTTTTAGTAGACTCTCAAGCAGACATTTCCCTTATAAAATTTTCCAGCCTAACAAGCAAATCGGTAATAAACAGCAATAACATTATTAATATCACGGGCGTAACATCAGAAACGGTCCAAACCTTGGGCAAAATAAATACAAATTTGGTAGTATCAGACATCTTTATTCCGCACACTCTTCACGTTGTAAATGACAGCTCTAACATTCCTTCGGACGGCATACTCGGAAAAGACTTTTTAAAAATAAACAAATGCATAATCAATTATGCAAACGATAGCATAACCATCGGTTTGGGAACAGAAAGGATCAGCGTTTCAATTTTGCACGGTACTACTACCGACAACTTAGTAATTCCACCTAGATGCGAAGTTTTTCGGTTATTTAATTTGGGTAAATCCAAAAACGCAGTTTTTGTAGACGCTCAGGAAGTTTGTAGTAGTGTTTTTACAGCGAAATGTATCGTTGACACGAAAAACCCGACACTAAAACTAATAAACACTACTGACGAAGTAAAATACGTCAGAAATTTCAATATTCAAACCGAAGACATAACAAACTTCAGCGTTTATAAAATTAACGAAACCACATCTGATCCGAAACGCATCATAGAACTAAAATCGTTTTTAGAAAAACAAGTACCCAATTATGCTAAAAATAAATTGCTTGAGCAAAGAGCTTGTTGGAATTTTTCATTGGGCGGGGTTTTAACGTGGCGGGGAGTTTTCGAGAGAAAGATTCTGCGAAAGATTTACGGACCTTTACGCGTTGGTGATGGCGAATATCGCAGACGATTTAACGATGAGCTGTATGAGCTTTACAACGATATAGACATAGTGCAGCGAATTAAAATTCAGCGGCTCCGCTGGCTTGGCCATGTCGTTCGGATGGACAGAAACGCTCCTGCTCTGAAAATATTCAACGCGGGCCGCGATGCTGGGAACAGAGGAAGAGGAAGGCCTTCTCTGCGTTGGAAAGACCAGGTGGAGAAGGACTTGGCTTCACTTGGCATTTTCAATTGGCGTCAGTTAGCACAGAAGAGATATGTCTGGCCTGCTGTTTTGGACTCGGCCAAAATCGCTTAGGCGGTTACAGCGCCAAATAAGAAGAAGAAGAATTTGGGTTTTTATCCGTGGAATTTTTTTTGAAAAATTGTAAGAAAATTTGTCGTAAACTTGTACTGTGGAGTATTTGTGTGATTTTCTTTGTGCTGTGGTTGCATTTCTACGTTTTGTTTTGTCATCGATCTAGTTTTTACTGCTAAAATATGTTTTGTTGTGTCTTTAAGTTCGTCAATTGTGATTCGTGATAGTGCATCCGCCCCAACGTTTGTTTTGCCTTTTATATATTGTGTTGTAAAATTGTATTCCGAAAGTTCCAGTCTTATTCGCGAGAGTTTTGACGAAGGGTCTTTCATATTAAAAAGGTAAACTAATGGTCGGTAATCAGATTTTACAGTAAAGTGTGTGCCATAAACGTATGGTCGAAATTGCTTGATTGCGAAATATATTGCTAGAAGTTCGAGTTCGATAATTGCCTTTTTTTGTTCTACTTTATTGAAAGCCTTATAAGCAAAACAAATAGGTAAGTCATTGCCGTTGTGGTTTTTGGCTTAAAATTGCACCGCATCCGGTTTTAGATGCGTCGACTGTAATTATGAATTCTTTGCTAAAGTCAGGATACTGTAAAAGTTTAGAAGACATTAAAGAGGATTTAAGTTTTTCAAAAGCTTGCTCAC